ATAGCAAGACCCCATCTCTTAAGAAAAATAATATATGGCCGGGTGTGGTGGTTCACGCATGTAATCCTAGCTTTCTGGGTGGCCGAGGCGGGAGGATAGCTGCAGTTCAGGGGTTTGACACCAGCCTGAGCACAGTGAGACCCCATCTCTAGAGACAAGAAACGAAAAAAAAGACAAAAAAAATACACAAAACCAGAAAACCCAGCTGGGCATTGTGGTGTGCGCCTGTAGTCCCAGCTACTAGGGAGGCTGAGGCAGAAGGATGGCTCACAGCCCAGGACCTGGAGCTTGTAGTGACCTACAATCATTGCACTCTACCCAGGGACCCCGAGTGACACTCCGTCTCAACAACAACAACAACAAAAAAAAAAAAAGGAAAAAAAAAAAGGAAAAGTAGGGAGAAACCAAGCTCCTGGGCTTGGCTAACCCTATCACACCTGCTCCCACTCTAAACGACTATGTGTTGTTTGTGCCTGCTCTTTTAGAAATGCTTCTGTGGGTGCCTGTGTTATGTTCAGGAATGCCTGAAAGCAGGCAGTCTTTCTGTGCCTGCGCATGGGAAGGGTGAGTCTCAGATCTGCCCTGGACGTAGAGTTCTGGGGGTGAGGAGGAAGGGACCAGAGCTCCTTGGCTGAACTCACCCCCATGCACACCCGGTCCCTGTTACCACTTCCTCCAGGCTTGGGAAGCAGTCCCCAGAGTAGATGCTGGTACCGTGAGTGGACAGGTGATCACCCACTCTGAGAACGACCACCATGCGCCAGTTGGTCCTCAGCCCCAGCCCAGTTCACAGCTGCCTCACCTGTAAGATCTGTGAATGTCCTGCAGATCTAAATCTCTACTCTAGAATTAGGACTCACTTGATGGTGTGAAGGGTGAGAGAAATAGAAGGTAAGTTTGAACCGAATTGACCTAGTTCCTGAGCTCTCTGAGATAAAAGTCAGTTTTTTGCCTTTAGCTGCTTGGAGCTAATAATATAATGGAAATCACTAACCCTTATGAATGATTCGCATCTGCCCAGCACTGTGCTAAGTGATTTATGTACGTGGTCTCAGTCCATTTTGTTCTCAAAATAGCCCTGTTGTTCCTCCCTTTTTACACAGGAGGAAACTGAGGTTTATGAGGGTCACTGAGAGCCTGCCCTGTGCTGGGTCTTAGTAGGGTGCACGCTAAATGGTGTCCCCGGCCAAGGAGCTCTCGTGTGGCCGCGGTTGGTGTGGGGCAGGAACAGAGGTGGGAGCCCGGGACGAGCATTGCCCTGGAGGCCAGCCCTGCTCGGAATCACAGCTCCTGTGAGCCCCAGGGAGGTACGTTGAAGCCAGCCTCAGAAATCTTTGTTTATTGGACCTTCAGGGCCTCACGTCTCACCAGAAATCTGCATTGGGGAACAAACTCCCCATGCCCAGAACTCGTCTTTCTAGAAGGGAGTGGTGAACTTGGAAGCCGAGTGAGGAAGAGATGGCCCCTGACCAGGTTTTGGTCACTGTTAGGGGGACTTTTTTCCCATGTCACATTTCAGGAAAGCTGTCAGGATGTGGGAGTCAGGGCTCGCTTGTTGGACGATCGAATCATCCCTCCATCGTGAACGTGGAGTTTTAGCCACGGAGTCCACTGTTTTTGATGAGGTGCCACGTCTTCCCGAAGCTCCCGTTTTTACTGGTGGCACCTGTGCTCTGAGCTTTAGAGAGCCCTGACTTTCTCTTTTGTTTCTTTTTTCTTTTCTGTTTAGAAACAGTGTCCAGGCTGGAGCGCAGTCACTGCAGCCTCAAACTCCTGGGCTCAGGCAATCCTCCTGCCTCAGCCTCCTGAGTAGCTGGGACCACAGGCTTATACTACCAAGCTCAGCTAATTTTCTTTTTCTCGCTACGTTACCCAGGCTGATCTCAAACTCCTGACCTCACGCGATCCTCCTTAGCCTCCCAAAGTGCTGGGGTTGTTACAGGCATGAGCCACCACGCCTGGCCAAGGTTGAGTTTTTGACTGTTGAAGGGATGCCAGTTAAGAATTCTCTGTTCTAGTTTGTGTCTACTAACAAGTATTAAAGTAAGATTCAAAATTCAGCATTTGGCAATTAGTGCTTTACTTTCATATTAATACATTGTAATTTTTCTGCTGATACCATGTTTTCTTAAAGCCAAGTTTTTGAACATGTTCCAAAATATGTGATACGTTTTCAAGTGTGTCATTGATTTCAGAAATGCGCTAGAGTCAGAAAAGTTCTCTGGGGAGTGGTGGTCCAGGACGAGAGCTCCCTCATTAGAAAATGTGCAAATTATGATCAGAAATGTTGGAGAGGCTCATATTGGCAGATATTAAAATTATTTTCTCCCAAACAATTAACGTACTGGTCCAATAATAGGACAATTATTAATTACTAGGACAAAAATTAATGGAATAAAATATTAATAGATTGCTGGAGTCTGGGAGTTCAAGACCAGTCTGGGCAACATAGTGAGACCCTGTCTCTACACAAAATAAAAAAATAAAAAATATTAGTGGGGCAAGGTGTCGGGTGCCTATTGTCCCAGCTACTTGGGAGGTTGAGGCAGGAGAAAAAGAAAAATCCAAAAAAGAAATTCCAGATGGAGACTCCAGTTTATCTAGGAATTAGTCCGTAATACACGTGTCATTTTATGTGGTGACAGAAAGGGTGGATTATGTAGTAGATGGTTTGGAACATTTGCTTAGTTATTTTGAAAAAGGTTAAACTAGATTCTCATTCGGTATATATATACCAAAATAAAATCTAAATGGATTAAATCATTAAATTTAAAAAGCAAAACCATAAAAGAGTTCGAAGAACATAGAGGGGAATATTCCTCATCTTGAAATGGGAGGGGCCTTTCTAAGTAAAAGTACAGTTGACCTTTGAGCAGTGGGGGGTGAAGGCCCCGACCCCCTGTGCAGTAGGATAAGCTTTGTGTAACCTTCGGCTCCCCAGAAACTTTGCTAATAGCCTCATGTGGATAGGAAGCTGATGACACACACACTCCTTTAGCACATGTGTTGTGTGTATTACATACTGTATTCTTACAATAAAGTAAGCTAGGTGAAAAATGTTATTAAGAAAATCATAAAGAAGAGTAAATACATTTACTATTCATCTTGAGGTGGATTATCATAAAAGTCTCCCTCACGTCGAGTAGGCTTGGGAGGAGGAGGAGGGCTTGGTCTTGCTCTCTCATGGGTGGCAGAGGCAGAAGAAAATTGGAGTATGTGGACCAGCACAGTCCGGACCTATGTTGTTCAAGGGTCGACGGAGAAGGAGGAAGGGTTTTTGCAAAGGAGAAGACGGATGGGCCTGAGCAGCGTCTGTGTTCTGCCTTGCGTGTTGTGTCATGGCTACACAGGAACATGCTTGGTTCTCCTAATTCTGGTTCCTGGAAGGAATAGCTGTGGCAGCTTCCTCGTTATAATTCTTGGCGTACTGTCAATGCTCAAATACATGCTCGTGGAATTGCATTCTAGTCACAGCTGTACTAGCGAGTGCTGTGGTGCAGGATGACAGGAGAACAAGTTGTCATTGTCCTTGGCTGGTGCTCCATCCTGCAGCTGCTCACGCCTGGCGAGCCCTCCAATGGCCGGGGTGTAGGTCTTCTGCTTTCGAGTGATTGTCTTGTGTTTTGTTTGGGCTGAACTGTAGCTTGCCTTGAGAAAATAGGTGATGTTCATGTCTGTTAAATTTGCATAGGAGGATAATTATTTACTTATCCAAAGAATCAATCTTTCTTTTCTTTTTTTTCCTCTTCTTTCTTCCTTTCTTCTCCCCTCCCCTCCTTTCCTCTCCCCTCCTCTCTCTTTTCCTTTTCTTTCTTTCCTTCCTTTCTTGACAGGGTCTTGCTCTGCCACCCAGACTGGAGTGTAGTGATGAAATCATAGCTCACTGTAGCCTCGAACTCCTGGGCTCATGCAGTCCTCCTGTCTCAGTCTCCTGAGTAGCTAGGACCGCAGGTGCATCTCAGCACACCTGGCTAATTTTTTAAAAAATTTTTTTGTAGGGATGGTGCTTTACTATGTTGCTCAGGCTGGTCTCAAACTCCTGGCCTCAAGCAATCCTCCCACCTCGACCTCCTTGGGTGCTGGGATTATAGGGCTGCGCCACCGCGCCCAGCAGAGTCTTTTTTGTGAGAACCTTCCCTGGATTCCTGTTGTCCTTCTGCTGCGATTGTGAGTAGAGTTAGTCTGTCTGTGAGTTTTCGGGACTGTTGACTGCATATAACAAGCACAAGGTCCTCAGATGTGCCTCCAGCAGACTTTCTTCATGGCCAAGTGCTTAACTCCGTCCTGTCCATTCAGAGGAAGACACCTCTTTCCTAAAGAGCAGTGCGGAAGGCAGCTGAGAAACAGCTCTGCCAGCCACTCACGGTGGGCCTAGGTAGAGATTTCCCAGAAAGCAGTTGCTTGGGATGCTACTCACTGGTGAGAAGGAATGACTGAGCTGGGCATGGTGGCTCACGCCTGTAATCCCACTCCGTGGGAGGCTGAGACGGGGGATCGCTAGAGTCTGGGAGTTCAAGACCAGTCTGGGCAACATAGTGAGACCCTGTCTCTACACAAAATAATAAAAATAAAAAAAATCAGTGGGGCAAGGTGTCAGATGCCTGTTGTCCCAGCTACTTGGGAGGTTCAGGCAGGAGGATCGCTTGAGCCCAGAAAGTTTGAGGCTGCAGTGAGCTCCAATTCCGTTTTTTTAATGAAGACAAAAAAAAAAGGGAATGAGCTGCTTGCACGTGAAATAACTTGGATGAATCTTAAGGGAATTGTGCTGAGTGGAAAAGGCCAGTCCCAGCAGATTACATCATGCATGGTTTTCATTTTTCATAAAACGTTCTCCAAAGACAGAATTACAGAGATGGAAAACAGATTTGTGGTTGCCAGGGGTTAGGAGCTGGGGGGCGGAGACAGCATGAGGGAGCCTTGTAATGGAGCTGTTGTGTGAGTCTCGACTGTGGTAGTTGGTTACATTGAACATACACCCGTGATGAAATCGCACAACACTAAGCACTCAAATGAGCACGTGTCATGTGACAATCTGAGGAAGACGAGTAGACTGTGACGTGTCGATATCCTGGGTGTGTTGTTTGTGGCTTTGCAAGATGTCACCGCTAGAAGCAGCTGGGCAGCATTGACAAGGAATCACTCTGTTTTAATTCTTGCAGCCACCTGGGAATCTATAGTCATTTCATAATAAGAAATCAGGGAAAGAGCGGTATGGACAATTAGCAGCCAGCCTCCGTGGAGAATGCCGGCGTTGCCCTGTGGTGTGAGTGCTCCGTGAGGCAGGCCCTCCTCCTCGTCTTCTGCCAGCGTCAGCACCGGGATTCCCGGGAGCCGTTCATCACAAGGCTCACGTTTGGGCTTAATTTCTTCAGGAGGAATTTCTGAGTGTGAAGACCCGGGCTTGCTTCCATAGCTGCTTCCTTGAAATTCAGTAGCATTGGCAGTTTATCTTCAGGTGACGCATTTAGGTGACATTTTTTCCTTCCTTAGAGGAATTTTGATGACAACTTGCCAGTGGCCCCGCAGGCTGTGCGGTGGGTGCAGGGTGTGGTGGCTTGGGCGGCAAGTGTGCATTTCCTGAGCAGCTCCGACAACAGTACCGTGTCGGACTCAGGCAGGAGAGACTCAAGTTGTGACCTGCGTTCTCCGTTAGCTTGAAGTTTATTTAAATAGCCCAGATAACTGCATGAGGGGTCAGGAACAAAAGGTCCCTGAATGTCACATTCCCAATGCAAGCGACCACAGCACAGATGGAGCAGAGGACAGAGGCATGTTTGGGCAACTCAGAAGGGCTGTCCCGAGGGACTTGGTTTGGGAGGAAGTCACAGAGTTCATGGGGAGGAGGTAGAGTGTCTAAATGGCATTCTCTGTTTAGAATCTCAGGGTCAGATGTTTCTTCTCTTACACCTTATTTTCAGCCAGTCTTTTCAGTGTCTTATACTGTCCCGTTATGTCTGCTCTTGTCTTCCTGGTGCCGGCCCTGTGATTTCATGCTGATTGTGTACTACAGATACCTGTGGGTTCTTTAGGGTTGGATTTTTTTTTTTTTTTT